CTTTAAGTTGGTCAATCAATTATTGAGTATCTTTAATCGTTGGCCTATCCCAACCCTTTTTTTATTAATTGTCTATACGTTTCCGATAATCTTTGACAATAGAGACTTTTATCACGTGGAATTTTTCCCATCCGTAATACGTTTCGTCAATGTAGTTTTAAAGTTTGGGCAGATTTTCGCGCCGCCTACGTATGATAGCTGAGCTGAGCTCTTTTGCATCATGATGGCAGTTATCTACCAAGACACCAATATCGCCATCAGTACTAGTCAAGTGCCTAGCCTAAAAATTACTGGAGGGAGTGAGGTCGCTCGAAGGTGGCAGAGCTATTAAACAAAATAATGTCGAATCGACTGTACAGCAAGTTTTAGTTTCTCATGTATCATTTCAGAAAGTTTATACCCCTTTACCATAGAATCACACCATTTACATATTTGCAAGGTCTCATCTCTCTAAATTTAGCACGTAGATCAACCATCATGCAGACGTAAAAACTCATGAAATATAATGATCATGGTTAAAATCACATGAAATATACACCCACGTGTTCTAGGATACACATAGATTCATAAAAACGCTATGATACAACAGTTCAGCGTCTAAAAGTACAAACAAAAGACGGTAAAAAAGACGACGATGTTATACGGACCTTTTCCGTATGAAAGCTGTTCGATACTTGCTTCCGTATCCGTGTGCCGTATCACGTATGAGAAATACACACACATTGATGATGTCACACGCAAAATCAATACGGATATGCGATATGGACCAGGAATTTACGCTTGCCAAAAGTCCCTAATCTTGGGTTTATTTTCCTTTGGTCATAACCTTTTGATGTTCATGTGGAACCCTGCATGCTTCGTGGCTCTACCGTACCCACACATAGAGCTGCGAGGAGAACTGTTGTCAGTCCAATTTTGGCAGCACTATTTTAAAAGGCAATCAGCGGTGGCACTGTCATAATAAATTGGAGTATTTTCGATGAAATCCTTGTCAGAAACCAATGTTTCCAAAGAGATCAAGAATGGACCTAAACACGATTAACATATTTTCATTATAGAGGAATAGGGTTTAACGCACACAAGACACAAACTAGATCATTTTGGGACTAACATATGGTTTTAATTTTATTATAATAATTCGCTTGCGCGAAGGGGTCTTTAGCAGTGGGAGGAAACCGGAGGAACCGGAGAAAAACCCACGAGGTTGTACAGGCGACCCAACTCCTTGTCAGGTACAACCGGGAAATCGAAAAAACGGAAGTTGTACAGCCTATCACGTTATTTGGATAAGATTCTTCTGTGCTAAGGCGTGCAAAGCATATACGTGGTCTGTTTTTGAATGGGTCACGGTGGCTAAGTGGGTAAGACGCTGGCTCGCTAGCCTGGAGGTCGGATGTTCGATCCCTGCATTGGCCGAGAAAGTTCATCTGGATTTTCCGGATTGGTTCCGCCTTGTCAGTGATGCAGGGAGGAGGACCTGACAAGGACAGCTGTCTAGTCGTTCGAGTGGGACGAAAAACCGAGGTCCCGTGTACACATTGGCGTGCACGTAAAAGATCCTTTGACAGTTGGAATTCGATATAAGAGTAAGCCGTAGTGCCGCTGTCCGGGCAAAATTGCCCTCATAACACACTGTATGGCGTATGCCCGTCTTCATTAGCCCAGTTCAAAGCATACCAGTAGGACGTTAAACTCCATTTCATTTCTGTTGCCGAATACCCATTACGGTACTCTGCTTGTGTTTCTTCATATTTGTTTTGGTATTCCGACAAAACCTTCAATCTGCTGTTTAGCACAGATGTATACCGCTTACCCATACACTATAACAAGGATAAACACCTATAACTGTTTGCGTCTGATTTTTACTGAGTGGGCGATACTTGCTTTTAAACATGATTCTGGAAACTTACCAGAAATAAAAAGTTAGTCAAATACAATTGTAATGAAGAAGAAAAAATTGTCTGGACAAGATTTGAAAAATCGATGCCAATTAATGCCATCCAGGCCAGGTGAAATATCAGATTGGGAGGTAAGTCTCGTCTCACTTCCGATCGAGTAATGGGTTCATTCAATAATAAATAATCAACACCAGCGCTCTCATCATTTAAATTTGAAGGATAAACATCAATCTGTCACTACTGTGAGATGCATTCATCATTATTGAATAGAGTGTTGAAGTGGCTCACCCTTGAATCCGGACTAATGAGAGAGAAGTCTGGTTTGCTTTGTGTACGTCTTGGCTGTTTAATAACACCCCAGAATTACCCTTTTTCACTTTACAAACATTTCTGTTTTGTACAGAATTATAATTTTCTAGATTAGCTTGTGTTTTATTAATTCTAACTTGGTTTAAAACCTGATATTTCTCATTCTTAAGAAGATGACAGTCATCATCAAACCGGGGAGGGGGGGGGGGGCGGTTGTTTTGTAACCTTATTGTTAGATACAAAGAATTAACATACAAGTAGATAATATGATATATAGTTAGATATTATAAAATGCAATTAGATAATCAAATACAATTAGATTATATAAAAATACAAACAGATAATATAAAATACAATCAGATAATATAAAATACAATCAGATAATATAAAATACAATTAGATAATATCAAATACAATCAGATAATATCAAATACAATTAGACAATCGAAAATACAATTAGACAATCGTAAATACAATTAGACAATATAAAATACAATCAGATAATATCAAATACAATTAGATGATATAAAATACAATTAGAAAATACAAAATACAATTAGATAATCAAATACAATTAGACAATATAAAATACAATTAGACAATATAAAATACAATTAGACAATATAAAATACAATTAGATAATGAAAAATATAATTATATAATATAAAATATAATTATATAATATAAAATATAATTATATAATATAAAATATAATTAAAGAATATAAAATACAATTATATAATATAAAATACAATTATATAATATAAAATACAATTATATAATATATAATACAATTATGTAATATAAATACAATTATATAATATTAAATACAAGTATATAATATCAAATACAATTATATAATATCAAATACAATTAGATAATCGAAAATACAATTATATATTAGAAAATACAATTACATAATAGAAAATACAATTATTGTGCATAATGAACTGTATCCGACGCAGCGGCCCGATTCGCTATAGATTATCACGAATTGTGATTATTTTACACGTGAAATAGAATGAAATAAAATAGAATCAAAGGTCCTACTTTTCTACCTCAACTAGCTTACGGCGGCATAAAACTTCTTTTGACCCCCAAGGTTAAATTCTTTAAACGGCAAATAAATAAATATATATAGATCAGTTCTATCAAAACCAATGACGTTAAGAAGGATATTTATTTTTCACATCAACAATACCTCGACATCCTGCCTTAGAATTGTCTTTGTTTGTTTTATTGAAGAATAGTGGTATTTTGGATATTTTTATAAGCATAGATTTAACGATATGAATTGTGCTTAAAGTTAATCGAAATCAGATTGATACACATAGAAAAACAGACAACGATGCACGGGAAAAAATCAATGATCACGCGGGATCTATTAGTTCCGTCTTTAACACTGGCTTATAGATTCCGTCTAGTTTATGAAATAGTCACACTACACAAGGGATATTTATTTATATGCAGATTTGACATCAAGAAAGAAAGAAATCAGCAGTTGTTTCTAATTAGAGACAAAGAAATAAATTTCTATAGATGAACCATACTGGAAAAATATTACCTGGTATTGCTATGTTTAACAAAGGTAAGCATGCAATCCTTGGAAGAGGTATAAGCCTAACAATTTGATGATTATAAATACACAAGCGCTTTATCATTTACCAAAATTTGAATAACATTTTATTGAATATTTAGTTTGCCAACAGCTAAATCGTGACAAATTTTTTTTATCGAATATTTTGAAATAAATATTCAGTGTGCCTTCTTATGCTTTTATTTCGATACAGTAAAATAATCTAATTGCATTATAACGAAATAACGGTTTAGAATAGTACAGAATGTACAAGGGGTAATATAATGAATAAAGGTTTAGGATAGTACAGAATGTACAAGGGGCAATATAATGAATACAGGTTTAGACTAGTACAGAATGTACAAGGGGTAATATAATGAATAAAGGTTTAGGATAGTACAGAATGTACAAGAGGTAATATAATGAATAAAGGTTTAGGATAGTACAGAATGTACTGGGGTAATTAAATGAATACATGTTTAGAATAGTACAGAATGTACAAGGGGTGTTGTAATGAATAAAGGTTTAGGATAGTACAAAATGTACAAGAGGTAATATAATGAATACAGGTTTAGGATAGTATAGAATGTACAAGAGGTAATATAATGAATACAGGTTTAGTATAGTATAGGATGTACAAGAGATAATTTAATGAATAAATGTTTAGGATAGTACAGAATGTATTTTTAAACTACTAAACAGTATATCGCTCATTTTGAAGTGGACGGAGGGGGTAATACACACATCGGCCCAATATCGAATAACCTGCCAAGCACACGACACTTGCCCATTAACATACACATGTTTGCACGCTACATAATATACACTTTTGTATTTTATATTAGATAGATGCATTATGTGAATACCGCAGAATTAAAAAAACACCACTCGGATGTACACTTTGTGCGGTTAAGACACTGAGAATTAAGGAACACCACTTGGCTTGTACAGATTGAGAACTAAGGAACGCCACTCGGCTGTCCGCTGACAAATATTTGTGATATTTTACCCGCTGAGAATTCAGAGAGTCTCAACCTATAATGTGATATTATCGCTTTTTATGTTTACAGAATGAAAAGTGAAACAACAGGGTATAGGTGAAACTAGAGTATAGGAACAACATGTGGTTAATAGTGGCAATCCTGTTTATCTATCCGGGAGTTTCAGCTAGTAATTTTATAGAACTCCAATGGGGTCTTACTACCGTTCCTGTAAACTATCCTTTATATAAATATGAAACGTCATCGACAACATCTAAAACTAGATGTACGTATATTTGTCAGTTGGATGAAACATGTACAGGTTTTAGCCATCAAGGTGACCAATGTGCTCTGTATAATAGTTATTCTATCAACAATATATCACCGTGGAACGGATCCCCTCCTTCAATGTACATGATCAACGATAAAGGTAAGTGTTACTCATGATGTAGGTTCAGTTGGGTTAAGGGGCCGCGGTCACTCAATATGTATGTTGTCTCTATATGTACGGTGACTTATGGTCGCTCAATGTGTTAGCTGTGACTCAATATGTATGGTAAATCAATGTGTATGGAGATTCAGTGTGTATGGCAACTCAATGTGTATGGTGGTTCAATATGTATGGTGGCTTAATGGTGGCTCAATGTGTATGGTGACTCAATATGTATGGTGCCGATGTCACAGGTTTGACCACAGTATTGGCCGAGATAGTCTTGTCAAAAATGAAATGAAATGGGGTTTAACGTCCTACTGCTCTGCTCCGACTGGGCTAATGAAGACGGGCATACACCATTCGGTGAGATAGGAGGGAAATTTTTGCCTCTCGGACAAAGCAGATATTAAAAGGAAATGTCTTACTCACTAAGCCACCGTTGCCCCTATATAAAGATAAAGGGACATGTGGTTATTACAATTAAGTTAATCACGACTGTCGTACAACGTGATGTTTGCAATCAAGTTACACACGACTGCCGTACTACGTGATGATTACAAATAGGTTTATCACGCCTTAATCTTAAAGGACAATATTGATGCCAGTCATTATCATATATGTGATAGAGCTGGTTAAACACGTTCCAAATATAATTTTATCACAGAGATCAATGCTACGATAGATGCATAATCAATGTTTCAACAATCGGAATTATCATTTCACTGATAATTCCGTTGAAGTTGAAAAGTTATTATATGGGACGGTGAGAGGGTATCGCACAATTCAAAAATAGAATTGGCTGTCACCAGATAAGGAACACGAGAAAAACAGAAAAATCCCGTGCATTCCCCCGTTTTTATTCATTCTGTTCTTAATAAAAAACATGGTAATGCACGGACTTTTTCTAATTTGTTCGTTATCTTTTATCTACTGACAGCCAATTCTTTTTTTGAATTGTCAGATATCCTCTCATCGTCTCATATAACAACTTTTCATCTTCAACTGAATTATCAGTGAAATGAAATTCGATCGTTTGTCTGTTATAGCTCGTTACTTCAGTCAGTTATATAGAAGGACAACTCGTGTTTGTCATGTTTGACGTCACTTCCCGTTTCTTCACGTGCTTATTACACATCTCCCGTAGCAATGATCTCTGTGTTAAAATTATATTTGGGATGTATTTAACGAGCTCTATCACATATTTTATAATGACTGACACCAATATTGTCCTTTAAATTTAACACGACTGTCGTAAAAACGTGATGATTTCAGTTTAATACGACGGTCGTAAAATGTAATAATTACACTTAGGTCTCGCACGCCCCCCCCCCCCAATAAAAAAACAACAAAAAACATCAAATGTATTGAAATATACATAATATGGTTGAATAATCAAAGCTTGGCAAGGGATTTCTTGGAATTCTGATTGGTAGGTTCACCACCTCGCATTACTTAAAGATACATTATGAGGGATTAGATAAAGAGCTGGCAGTTCTCACTATAATAGTTAATAACTAGATAATGTAATGGGAATTTGCTGAAAATTTCAGTCAAATTGATCTTCTCTGAACCGAGATTATAGCGATTGAATTTTCGGCCTAGCCTCAATCATCATTACTAAAGTCGGTACGATAAAAAAAAAACATAGTCTCTATTATTCATTTCATGATTAAATCTTAAATGGAAGTCGAACGGCAAATCGGAACCTAATCTAATAAACACCGCAGGCTAGTGATGGCATCGAGAGTTGATTATGGTCTGGAGAAGTTAATTAATAATTTAGATAACATTTCAGTCCTAACGAAAGATCTGCAATAGGCAGATTTAGCTCTTGCATAATGTATGTTTAACGCGTCCAGTAACGAAGTATTCTAAAACCATAGGTATACTCAGTTGAATGTCAACAGCCAAGGTGGTCCATTACCTGTCCTATTAATCCAATTAAAATTATATTTAGTTGTATTGCGTTTATTTCTCTCCCTGGGTAAAGGTGCCAAGGAGTCCGGCCCTATTATTCAAGTTAAAATTATATTAATCTTGTTGCATTTAAATTACATTTAGGGGTCTTTAGCAGTGAGAGGAAACCAGAGAACCCGGTGAAAACCCATGGGGTTGGACAGGCGACCCTACTCCTTGTCATGTACCATCGGGGAATCGAAGCCACGTCAGTTGAATCAATGACATACTTTATGTTACAACGCGCACGGGCTAATCATTTGGCCATCCAACACCACCTACTCAATTAAACGTTTCGATGTTGAATTCTCTCAAAGCTGGGACAGGCCATGCGCAATCTAATTAATTATAATGATATCTATACCAATCGCCAATCCCTCAGAACGTTTTGAACAGACAGTCGAGAACGCCCCAATACGAACTCGTGTAAACAGCCCCTCAAAAAACGAAGCGAAATGTTGATAGTATTTCAATTAGACGTCATGTATGCATTGTGTGCACAACATGAAGGTGTTTCGAATGATTAACTATAATCAATATGAATAGGAAATGCGATAGAAGCAAATGCACTGTCTTACTACTGTCTACTGTAAATCGTTATGTAAAACAACAATATAATTGGTTGGAATAAACAACAAGTTCATATAAATGTTGGTGATATTCGATTGGCAATGCATATATTGATTGTGTTATGATCGAACAATTTTGATTCACATTGTAACCCAATAGCAAAACACAACAAAAATCGTTTATTGTACACCAATGTAGCGCCATAATTAATTATTACATAATTATCGGATCTGTTATTTATATATATGGTCGATACAGGTCGTCGTGGTCGCGGTGGTCAATGTAAAGAATAGGGTCGCCTCAAGGGATTTCTCCTGATCCCCCGATTTCCTCCCATAACTAAAGACCCAGACACGCAGCAAAGAACTGGAGTATGTTAATCTCAAAATGACCTAGTTTGTGTCGAGTGGATGCTAAACCCCATTTCTCTCTCTTTCAAGATTTGGAACCATCGCTACAAATATCGCCATTATAACATCTTCTATAACTGCTTAAACGGGTATGATTCTGGTGTTGGCCGAGAAAATCCCCAGGGCGTATAGTCTAGTCGTTTGGGTTGGACGAAAACCGAGGTCCCTTGTACACGTTGGCGTGTATGTAAAAGAGCCGTTGACTGTTGGAATTCGACGAGAGGTAGGCGGAAACCCCTCTGTCCGAGGCAAATAGGAGTAGACCCTAACGCCGCTGTCCAGGCAAAATGTCTCTCATAGTACTCTGCATAGGCCCCTTTCCATTAGCCCAATCGGCGCAGAAAAGTAGAACGTTAAACCCCATTCCGTTATATTTCGGTGAGCAAGCACTTAGAGAAATAAACGCAATACACCAAATATAATTTAAACTGGATTAATAGAGCAGGTAATAGACTCCTTGAATGTGGAAATTCGGATCTTTATTAGCCCAGATGATGCTGAAAGTAGTACGCTGAGTCCTCGCCTAACCCCAAAAGTATGTTACGGCTTAGGGGCCCACGGTGGATAAGTGCGTAAGACACTGGCCCACTAGCCGGGAGGTCGCGGGCTCTCTCCCGATGCTGGCCGAAAAGGTTCATCGGGATTTTCCGGCGTGGTTTTCACTTGTCTGTGATGTCTCGTCTTTCGGATGGGACGAGAAACCGGGGTTTCGTGTACACATTGACATGCACGTAAAAGATCTCTTGACAGTTGGAATTCGATATAAGAGTAGGCTGTAAGGCCGCTGTCCGGACAAAATTTCCCTCATAGCACACTGTATGACGCATGCCCGTCCAGTCGGAGCAGAACAGTAGAACGTTAAACCCCATTTCATTTCTGTTCCGACTTTAAAATCTCAAAAATACTTTGCTCTAATGTATTTAAACTTCTCTACCTTGCTCTGGGCCCTTATTCACGAAAACTTAAACTAAGTTATAATCGAAATTTTAAGGAATACTGCAACTTCATTGGATATATGCAAATTGATTTTACTGTTCATTGTATCTTAGTTTAAGTTTTCGTGAATAAGGGCCCAGGTGTCATTTAAATAAAGCATAACAGTTGGAAGTTAAATCCCATTTCATTTCACATCTTTTAAATAATGACAGACCTTATGAATTAGGCGCACGCGCCAGCCACTAAAATAGTGTTACAATTAGTCGACCCGGAACAGAGTACACCATCCTAGACCGCCAATGGAATAAATCCGGGGGCCTGTTTCACGAAATTTCAACTAAGATAAAATCCAAATTTTAGTAATTTGATTGGATAATATTAGATTGATTTTAGTGCTTAGCCAATCAAAATTGAAGAATCTACTAAAATTTGGATTTTATTTTTAGTTAAGATTTCAAGAAACAGGACCCAGGTCGACATGGTAACAGATTGTCTACAACATACTCCGGTAAATTAAAATAAGTAAAGCCTGTTCCACTCCTAATATTGTAACATCACACTAGATTAACCAAATGCAAGACTTTCTTTAACCTAAATCTGATTCTGTCCTTAACACGGTTATTATTGGTCGCTTGAATCAGAAATTTTGTATACGTTGCAGCAGGCTTAATATGGTCGCAATTGTATCTTTATTGTAGAAGCCACCCCGTTGTCATAACAAATGAAATGAAATGAAATGGAGTTTAACGTCCTACTGTTCTGCTCCTAACCTGGGCTAATGAAGACGGGCATACGCCATACAGTGTGCTATGAGGGAAATTTTGCCCGGACAGCAGCACTACGGCCTACTCTTATATCGAATTCCAACTTCCAAGGGATCTTTTACGTGCACGCCAATGTATACACGGGACCTCGGTTTTTCGTCCCATCCGAACAACTAGACAGCTTTCCTTGTCAGCCCCTCCGTCCTGCATCACTGATAAGGGAGAACCACGCCGGAAAATCTGAATGAACTTTCTCGGCCAATGCAGGGATCGAACACCCGACCTCCAGGCTAGCGAGCTAGCGTCTTACCCACTTAGCCACGTGATCCCCCATTTACTAATCTTTATTGTAGAACCCACT